CCTCCTCCTCCTCCTCCTCCTCCTCCTCCTCCTCCCTCGCCGTGCTCTGAGATCCGGGCGTTGTATTTTTGTTGCGCCGGGCCCAGCGTTGGGCCCTGGGGCTATCACGGATCGATCCAGCTCGAGAGATGCCGCAGAAGGATGGGGTCCAGGGCTCCGGTCGCGAGTTCTCGCGATGTTGCAGCTTTCAGCAACGGCGGATCTGAGGGTGCCCCCTTGCGAAGCTCTGTCGTCCTTCGTCGCCCACCCGCCCTGGCCCCAAACTGGGCGATCCTCGTGAGGGCCTCGCCGGCGGCGCCACCTCGCCCTCGGCGGAGGCTGGCAGAAGCCCAGCGGCGGCGGGTCCGCTGGCGGAGAATCGGCGCGAGGCGGCGGAAGCAGAAGCGAGACGCCGCCTTTTTTGGATCAGGTGGCGGAAGCAGGAGCAGAAGCAGAAGCAGAACCAGAAGCGAGACCGGAGCAGGCCATTTGGGATGCGCGTCCTGGCCACCATGTTCTCCTGTCGCGAGAAAGCTGCACCAACCTGCAGCATCAGGTCTGGAGCCCTAGCCGGCATGAGAGAAACTCTGCCACTGCACGCGTAGCATGATAGGGTCCAGGAAATCTCACACGACGTGGTCTTCAGGCCCTCTGCGCAGGCTCAGCAGGGGACCGCTCTGAAACGGGCCATCCTACCCGGACCCCGTCTCGCGAGCTGGATCGATCCGTGAGGGCCCCGGGGGCCCGACGCGGAGCGAGACCGCGCAGTGTGCAAAGAGCTGCGGCGCCGGGCCCTCACGGTGTGGGAGGCCCCCACGCCCCTTCGGTGCGCGCGCGCGCTTGGGCGCTTTTTGCGCCCGCCTTGGCGGCAGCCACGTCGGCCGGGTGGGGAGCGCAGAGAGCCTGGCGGGCCCCACACAGCCCGGGACGGCCCGCGGGCGCCTCGCGCTCCTCCGGCCCCGCTGCCGCGCGGGCGCCTCGCGCGCGCGCGCCTCCAGACATCCGACGCCTGGGCGTTTTGTCCCTGCGGGACCCCTGCCACCCCCTGGGTGAAAAAACGTGGTGCTCGGCACTGCGCGAGGGAACAGCCCCTGGGTCTTCGCCGATCGATAGAGCCTCGAGCTTCGATCTTCGATCGATCCCGAGATGACTCCAAGACAAGCTCGTGACCCGAACGGAGGAACGGCGCCGCAGGGGTGGACGAGACGCGCGGTTGTTAGGACAGCCCAAACGAAATCGCCACTCTCTGGCGGCGTGAAAAGCGGCCAGAAAAGACATTGTGAGGAATTCTCAGGCGATGTCGCCACTCTCAAGCGGCATGGAGATCGGTCTGAGAATCTGTTCTGAGGAAGTCCCACGCGAGATCGACATTTTCAGATGCCATGGCAAATTTTCAGATCGCCCTGGAAAGCGATCTGAAAGTTTGTGTGAGGAAATCTCGGGCGGAATCGCATTTTCAGACGATGGCCCCATATTAAAAGGGGTGAGGGATGCATCTGAAATTCCCAAATCGGCCCCAACTCCAACATTGTCCCGGGGCCCCGCGGCCTAACGGGAGGCCAACCGCGTCTTCTTCGATCCCCACGGTCTCTTTTTTTAATCCAGCGGATTGTAGCATCCAAGACCGATAAGAGGCGCTCAAGTGTGATCAAACAATGTTAGCACTTCCCTCGACCTGCATCTTCCGCACCATCCGCGCCGCAGGTCTTCGCGCGGAAGGTGCCGCCGCGATGCGGCGGCTGCCTCGTGGCGGCACCTTCCGCGCGGAAGGTGCAGGTACAGGGCTGAGAAGGAGGAATAGGAGAAAGAGGAGGAGGAGGAGGAGGAGGAAGAAGGAGAAAAAGAGGAGGTCCTTCTTTATCGCATTTGGGCAGTTTGTCCCTGCATGTTCCAAGGACCAGCTTTCCATCCCAAGTTGGTTTCTGACGGCCCCTGATCCTGGCGAGGGCCCCGAGAAGCCGAAAACGATGGAGTACCTCCGCTAACGAAGCGAAGAGTTTGCAACATCGCCAAAGATCATTTTAAACATAGAAAATCGCCAGAAATCGCAAACGACTGACCTCTTCAGCGAAAAGTTTGCAACATCGCGAAAAGTCACGACAGCAGTCCTGGACCCCATCTTGCAACCGCATTTTTCAGGGCGAGTCGATTCCTCGATTCGGTTCGACTTTGATCGATCCTGACTCAATAATTCCGATTCGACTTCGGACTCCGATGTGGATTCCGATTTCTCGGTGGAGGCCCGACCAGCCTGCCGATGTCCGCCGACTCGACGCCTCCCCACTCGGCCGCCGATTCCCGCCGATACCCGACTCCTTCCGATGGCCGACCCGACTTCTGCCGACTCGATCCTGAGCTCTCCCGGGGGATGTCCGGGTCCGCGCGGGCGCGCCGACATCTGAGTTTTGTCCTGCGGGCCCGGGCGCGCCTCGGCCTGGCCGGCGCCGCGGCGCACGGGCCCGCGGCCGAGCAGGGGCCCGCGCTCTGCTTACAGGCCGGCGGCGCTCTGCTGCCGCACCGGCGTTCCGTGCGCGCGCCGCTCGAAGTTTTGTCCCGGCGGGGGCCTGGAGGCCCAGGCATCCAGCGTCTTGTCGCCCTCTTCCACTTTATCCCCCTCCTCGCCGTCCTCTTCTTCTTCTTCTTCTTCCTCTCCTTCTTATTCTTATTATTAATATTATTATTACTACTACTATTGTTAATGTTACTATTATCATCATTATTATTATCATTATTGGTATTATTATTGTTATTGTTATTATTAATAATATTATCAACATTATTATTATTATTATTATTATTATTATTATTATTATTATTACTACTGTTGTTATTATTATTATTATTATTATTATTATTATTATCGTCTTATTATTATATTATTATTATATTGTTTTAATATTGTTATTACATTGTTAGTATTATTCTTCCTCTTCTGATTCTTCCTCCCCCTCATTCGATTCCTCCTCCTGCAAAGAGCCCTGCGGTCTGGGCGTCGTATTTTGTTCGGCGCCGGGCGATGTCGCTCGGTGGCGGGCCCCGAGGCCCTCGGAAGATCGATCGGGCGCTCGACGGACGCCGCAGGAAGGAGGGGCTCCAGGGCCCCGGTCGTGCTTTTCTGGCGATGCTGCAGTTCTTCCTGCCACGTCGCACCTCCGGGCGGCAGGCCGGGGGGCTCCTCCTCCGTCGGCCGCGGCTGCGGGCCGGGGCCCCCGCCAGGCTCCCGCAGGCCGCAGGAGACCGCCTCGGGATGCCAAGCCGAGGAGGCGGAGGAGGAGGAGGAGGAGGAGGAGGAGGAGGAGGAGGAGGAGGAGGAGGAGGAGGAGAGGGAGGAATGGGGAGCAGGAGGAGGAGGAGGAGGAGGAGGAGGAGGGAAGGAGGAGGAGGAGGAGGGAAGGAGGAGGAGGAGGAGGACTCTGGGAGAGGGTCTGGGCTCCAGGGCCCTTCCCTGACCTTCCAAGAGGGCTAACAAAAGCAGCACCCGACCGAAAAACCGATCCCAAAGCTACTCTACGTCTTGGTTTTAGGCCGTTTCGCTCAGCTTTTTATCGGTTTTTAGGCTTCCGGTGCTAGAAAATAGCTCTTTGGAAGGTCAGGGTGGTGCATTGTGGAACGAGTCCAGACGCCGGATGCCTGGGGCGGGAGCCAGGCGATGGTCCGGTCCAGCCCAGGCGCACGGGCGCCTGGCGGGCCCCCTCCTTCCTGGACCTCCGACGATTCGGTCCCGACGTGCTTCCTCGACGTCGGCCTCCTGGGGCCGTCGGCGGGCCCCGCGCTGGCTTCGGATCCGCCGTGCTCTGGCTGCTGCTCCGCCTGCAGCGTGTGCCGGAAGTGCACCCCAGACGATGCGAAGAAGCGTGGCGGAAGTGCCCGCTTCCGACAGGGTGGGGCGGATGTTTCCGCGCAGGCGTGGCGGACACAGCGACGGCCAAGTGGGGCGGACGGTTGCAGCAAGTGAGCTCGACCAGCGGAACAGACAAGTCCACCCTACTTGCGAAGCCGCCCAACAAGTACGGCGGATCCGAAATCAGGGCGCGGGCCCATCGAAAGGGCACCTGGTACCTCCCTCGTCTTCCAGTTTTCGGGCCAGAGCTCGGGTCTCCGGCGGCCGTTCGGGACGATCCGGGCACCCTCAGAACGCCCTCGGCGAGGCGCCGCTGCTGGAAGGCATCCCGAGGCTGGAAAGCGCCCTGGAGCCGACGAAGGAGCGAGAAAGCGTCGAAGGCTGCGCACACTCAGCAGAGGTCTGCGGCGCCAGGACCTCTTCTCCCGGAGGGCCTCCGGCTTCGATCCTCGGGGCGGGTTGACAGCCGTGGCGACGGGGGCCGCCCGGGAGGCCCAAGTAGGGCGACGGCGAGGGGAGGGTCGCGGCACGGGTACCTCCCAGGACGCGTCCCTGGGCACCGCAGCGTGCCTCCCTGCCTTCTCGTGGCTTCTCTCGTGGCCGCCCTTGCGGCCTACTGCCGCCTCCGTCTGCCGCCGCTCTGCCCCCACGGCCCGCGGGTGCGGGGCGCGCAGCCAAAGACCGCCATAGGACCGCGCGTGCTCGGCCGCGTCTGCCCATGGTCCGCCCTGTCCTCGCTCCTCCTCCCTTTCCTCCTCCTCCTCCTCCTCCTCCTCCCCTCCTCCTCCTCCTCCTCCTCCTCCTCCTCCTCCTCCTCCTCCTCCTCCTCCTCCTCCTCCTCCTCCTCCTCCTCCTCCTCCTCCTCCTCCTCCCCCTCAATCGTGCTCCTTGCCTCGGACCCGCAGTTGGCCAAGAGTATAGCAGCAGTGACCCCACGTTCAGCTGCGCAGGGGGCGTCGGAGTCGTCCAGTCCTGAATGCCAGGCTGAAGACAGCCATGGCCAAGGCACGTCGTCTATTGCTTCTTAAGAAAGGAAGTTCTAGGGCGGCTGGTATTGTTAATGCGAACCTGCGTCCTACAGTATCTTACGGTATTGATATGGTTGGTTTGAATACTTACCAGATCCAGCATATTAGGACCATATATCATGCAGGCTAGGCTGCAGGATGTTACCGATCCAGCCTTAGACGCTCATGCGGAAATAGTGCGCCTTTGGGCTGTCTCTCGTTGGAACCGTGTCTTACCAAAGGGCATTATTGATGAAGTTCTCTCTTGGGCTCGTGATACCGTTTCATGTGACACTCCCTGGACAGACCTACAGGGACCAGGTCAGATACTGGTGGCCACCTTGCTGAGGATTGGGTGGTCGGTCACTACCCCAGCCCAGTGGCAGAATTCTCTTGTGGTGGATTTCTTTATTGCGACGTCTACGCCGCGTGACCTGGTAGCATTAGTGCCCCGCGATGCCTGTGTATGGGCCTGGAAGCAAGCCTCTGTGCGTCACCGATCCTTCGGTCATTTGTCGGGTCCCCCTTTCTTTCCTCCCCTCCTCTCCCTTTTGTCTAAGAAGACCGAAGGTTGGGGTACGCTGCAGCAGCGAGCTCGTAGGGATTTCTTGGCGGGAGGTATTAATTTCGAATCCAAGTGTTCCATGTGTCAGTTGATCCCAGCTGACCCTGTGTTTCACACCTTGTATGACTGTGATGCCCTCTGTGAGTGTCGCCGTTGGTTTGGTATGTTTCGTCCAGCACCGTGACGATATTGTTTGGACCACAGCTCTGGTTCCTGACCCGCGATATAGCTCTCCTGTCGCACCGCTATTTCCTGACCTTGCCTGGGAGTGTGCCACAGACGGCCAACTTTTTCTCGTCGCCAGCGTACGGAGACGGCTCGGGAATGTTTGGTCCGTCACCTTTTCACGCTCCGATGCGCATGGGGCGTTTGCTCATGTGTTCCTAGGCGCCGAAATGTCTTTGGTGAGGCTGTCGCCCACGACCGTCCTAGATTGAACGCTGCAGCGTATGGCGTCTTGCCTGCATTTGTTCAGGACGCTCCTGGGGTTGAGCTCTATGCTGTCCTTTTTTAACCTCACCCATGCAGCCCCGTCTGTGCGGTATGCGTCTGTTACTGATTGCCAACGTGTTGTTGACGTTAGGGCCCTGGGCCGTGAGGCCCCACCCATGGGTGGGCGAAACATTGCTCCCTATGGGTCCAGGTCCAACGCTTAGCGACGGACATTGGTTATCACCTAATTCGAGTCACCAGAGTACGTAAGGGTGGCCGTAGTGATGCGCACTATGCTGGGAATCGTCAGGCAGACAGATTGGCCAAGCTTGGTGCGGACCTCATGACACTGTGCAGCAAGCTCGCACCAAACGATCTGACACCTTTGTTAGACATCCCGGCTGTTATATCGGACGCTGCATCGCATGGGTTCCAAAACATGTTCCCAAGAAGGTTCGGGCTGCCGAGTCTGAGGACAGTCAGACTCCAGCCCCCCTTCCCTTTTATTGTCGGGATCTGTAATTGGAGCTCTGCATGAGCAATTCTGGGGCCCTTCCGTGGGGCGTTTCAGATGTGTGAATTGTTGGGCTAGCTCCGTCTCCATGAGCTACCTCTTGCGTTCCAATGTTCCTCGCCTACAGAGGGGGGTGGCACTGTCTTCGAAGGCCGCAGGAAATTATCTTCAGTCGCAGCTGTGGGTTTTACTCCAGAAGCAATGTCAAAGACCGAATTCTGAATTGCACTGAGCCCCCTTGGGCTGGCACAGTATCCCGTCTGAGGCTCATGTGTGATGGGCGTGACCCACGCACGAAACGCCCGATCGGATATGTTCGTGCTGTTAACTGCGCCAGCGTTATTTACGCCTTGTCCAAACCGCACTATGCTTTTGATTTCCAGGCCCTCTTCCACCCTGAATGGCTGTTACAGCCGTTGCTGCAGCTACATCACTAATATGGGGGTTGGTATCGGTGTGGAGAGGGATTTCTCGTGTGCTTATCTTGCCGTGATGCGGGAAGTCTCTTGGATACTGACACCCGCAGAAGATCGCATAAGTGTTTTTGATGTGAGACTCTCATGCCGATTATGTGTTTTTTATTTGCCTAGGCTCGCCGAGCGATTGTTGCTGGCTGCGGGATATCTTTGTGCCGCTCTCGCTATGAGGCGGCATCTTTCTATCTGTCCTTGAGGCTGTCTGATTGCGAGGCTTCCCGAGCATTGAGGCGCAATGGAAACAACCCCGCGCAGCTCTAATGCGCCCTTTTCCTGTGCTCAGGCTCGCAAAGAGAGGAAGAGCTCTACTGCCGCCTGGGTTTGAATAGTGCGCTGTTTCGCCTGAGGGGAGGCGAATGCAAGACCTCCGACGAACCAGGGCAGGAGCAAGTCAAATTCCCCTCCAGGCTTTCCCAGCATCGCTTTGCTGCTGTCGGGCCCTCGTTGTTTCGTGGCCCGTTTTTTTGTCGGTCGTGTCCCTCCGCTCGTTGGCTGCGGTTGCCTGGGGCCGTCCCTCGCTTTCTTTCGGCCCTTTCGGGCCCTTCCGTCGCGCGTCGGCCACGTGCAGGAGTTATTGTTATGGCGGTAACCCGAGGATGCATCAAGTTTAAACTAACCTTAGGAAAGTAGAGGTGCCCGCTTCCTCCCGCAAGAGGGGGGCCGAGGGTGCCGGTTGCCTTGCGGCCCGCTTGCGCGCGGTGTGCACCCGGAGAAGGATTCCGCAGGCTGCAGCTCGTGAACTCACCGAGATGCGGCGCGCTAGCGACGAGGGGCGGCCGGGCCCATCGAGCCGCGCCCAGCCGGGCGACGAGGCCGAGGTATTTCCGAGCCGCGCCCAGCTGCGCGCCGCATCGACGGGCCTCTACAGGCAACCCGTCCCGTTCGAAACGCCACTGCTCAGGCTCGACGGCGCGCGCCCTCGGAGCGCCGGCTGCCGCTTCCGCCCCGCCGAACTCTCGGAGGGCCGCTCGCTTGTCCTGGCGCCGGCGCAACTCCAACTGGATCTCGCGCTGGAGCCGCTTCTACGGGCGGCCCGCGCCGCCCCCAGTTCCACGAAACACTTCTTGCGCTTGATGGCCTTCGCGGGGAACGCCGCGGCGACGGGCTCGACCGGTTTGGCCTGCTTCCTGACGAGTTTGACGACGCGCTCGCGCGTCCCATTCTTGGTCGAGCTCTCGTTGCCGCCTTCGCTTCCTGTCCGCCCGCCTGGCCTGCCAATCTGCGCAGCGATCGTCTCGCCCGCGCTCGCGTCGAACGGTTTTTCTATGAGCGGCCTTTGCGTGCTGAGCGGCTGCTTTATGCGAGACCTCTCGAAGAGGATCGGTTTCTTTATGACTCGCAGCTTCTCGATGACGAACGGCTTCTCTATGGGGGGCGATTTCTCTGTGATGAACGGCTTCTACATGTTGAACGTCGCATTGATGATAAACGGCTTCTTGGAGAAGAACGGCCTCTCTATGTGGAGCGCTGGAACGGCGTTCGCATGAAGAACGGCTTCATGAAGAACGGCTTATCGATGAGAGCCGGCCCCTTTTACGAAGGGCGGCTTTTCTACGAGCAATGGCCGTTTCAGGGCGGCGCGCCGACATCTTTAATATAGAGCCAGAAGAGTTCCAAGCGCCAGCTCCTCAAGTCCAAGCACTGTCGATCAACGTCACAATGCTGAGCAAAGCACGCTCGACGATGATCTTGGAGAGTCTCAGCGTCTACGGCCGGAGCGATCTGCCTGCAGGAAACTCGCCATTGCGTGCTCCGTCCCTGGTGGGCCTTGAGTTTGGCTCGGCAGGTCGGATGGTCCATCGCCTTTTCAGAACCCCCACCTCAACTTCGAGTTCGGGGCCAACTCGCTGCCGCGCCTCGTCGGCGAGGATGCGCGATGCCATGGGGGCGCTCTCTTGGCCGTGCTACGATTATCCGCGATGAGTTCCGACGCCATCGGGCTGCGGGCATTAGGGCTGCATTGGCGTCTCTTGTCTCGGTCCAAGGCCTGCAGGAGCTCGACAGATCCTGGTTCAATCAGGCCTTTGCGTCGCTGCAGACCCTGGGGCGCTTGGGCCATCCACTCTGTGTGATTGGCGACCTCAATTGGAGGCCAGCACATTTACCTTTTACGACGTCTTGGACCATGCGTCGCGGCGCCCCCGGGTTTGACGCGCACGCTGCCGCGGCCTCAACGCCCCCAGCGCGCGCGCTGCATTTTGGTGATGGCGCGCCTCACTTGCAGAAGAGCACGCACTTAATCCCTGGCGTGCCGCATCGTGGTCTGGCGACCTACGAGCTGGCGCCGCCGTTCGCCAGCGCAGCACACGCGCGCATGCGTCACGCAGCCTCGCGCGTCTCTTGGAGGGCGCCGTCGGGGGACGAACGACGCCCCGCGCAGGAGCTGGTGGACACAGACTTCGGACCTCCAGTTGCCGATGACCTTCAGGAGCCAGACCTGGTGGCCCAAGGGAGATTGGAGAGGCCTGACGGCCGGCGCCGCCGACCCTGATCGAAAGGGCTAGGAGTGGGAGGAGGAGGAGGAGGAGGAGGAGGAGGAGGAGGAGGAGGAGGAGGAGGAGGAGCCAGACCTGGTGGCCCAAGGGAGATCTTGGCACGGGCGAGCTGAACGCGCCATGATTACTGCAGCGGAGCGAGGGCGCGCTACGACGGAGAGGACCGCCGAGCAAGGCAAGGGCCCCACTGCAACCGCCAGGGCCCCAAGACACTCGCCAGCCGATCGGCTG